CGTGAATTCTTGAGCCTTTAGCCGCAAACAAGCTTGACCTGTTTAGATATTTTTTTTTATTTGGTTATTTTTTGATTTGTATATTTAGCTATTCAGTTTTTTTTATACAACTACCACATCCTGTATACCAATTGAATCTTGACTGTTTTAGTTTTGTCATGTCATTCTTTGTTTGTTAATATTGAATATTGCACTGTACTTATCAATAACCTTTATTATTAGAAAACAAACAAACAAAAAAACGTTATACATGACACGATATAAATAGTACGCTGGTTCCGAGAGAAAATTAGTCAGTTTTGGTAAGCTTTAGACCCTGAAAAAGCTGCAAGCTCCGAAGCGATCGCAAATACGTATTAAGGTAGGGTACTGTTTTCATACTTATTCTGAAATATTACTGATGTTTTCAAAGTTCCCATAAAATAGATCTTTAATATAATAAATTTGCAAATTAAGTTTTCTAATTCTAATGAACTTACTGGTCATTTTTCAGGAAGAGTCCTTATGTAAGAATTAATTGCCCCAAAATTGTCTAGATTAGGAGAATGTTTGGTTTTTGATCGATTTGTTTTTGGCAGTTGTCCCTTAAATTCATTTATAGTATCCATGTACAATAAGAACATAGCCTCAGTATATTCAACACAGAGAAGTCTTACCAGCAAACTAGACGAAATGTGCCTACCGAAATTTCCGTTCACGTTTGCTTGGGCGTCTTATCCACAGCTAAATTCACAAGAGGTTTAAGGCCTGGGTCAAAGGTGTGTTCGGAGCATATGAATGATTGGCAATATCTCTCGCTAGGAGACCTAGAACGAAATGAATTTTTCCCCAAAAGTAAATCTTGATGTTTTCTTGTGCCTTAACATCCCATTATGGTCACGTGACGTATCACGTGACCAAAAATTGAAAATGAAGGAAATTGGCGAATGGGTGGCGAATTTACTTTGTTTGGATAAACAAATTGGCATTTCTGAAAGAGGATAAGCATACCTAACTTTCTACGTTTGGAATGAACGTACGCGAAGTTTAAAACTAAAGTTTTCAATAACTCGCGATAAAATTTGAGCACTTAAAATGATATTTTCCCTCACCATTTTTTATTGAAGTGCAGTGGACGGTCATTTCAAACGTGAAGAGTTAGAAATATTTAATATGAATTACAAAAATTTATTGCTCGATTTCTTTTCTTAAACCGGCCACCAATCGGTCAACAATGTACTATTTTCAGCAAAATGGTCACGTGACATATTACGTGACATTGATACTTTAAAATGTTAAGGACGATGAGTTCTTTATGTCAGTGCTTTATTTTTTCGAGTTTGTTATTAAGTCGTTTTAGTTCCAATTTCAGTTCTATAGTGCTTGAGTGGAACGGCCACCGCTCCAATGAGTGGTTCAGCCGCTAGAAATAGATTTGTTTAGGCGCATGCGTGAGCAAGAGCAATCTTTTTAGGTACATGAGTGTAGGCAGTGTAAACAAAAAATAGCATGATTTGTACGTGATGGCATTACGTACAAATAACGTACGTATAACAATTTAGAAATATCACTCGTGGTATTTTTTGCCAAATCACTACAAGTCATGCTATTATACCTATACTAATTAGCAGTACTGTGACTCAAGTGATACGTGTACTAGTTACCTAAGGGCATTGTGTTTAGAGGTTAAAACCCTGCCGCTATTGAACTTCATCCCAGGAAGAATTCAAGAGCTGTTGCTTCACCTCTTGGGTAAATTTTCCCGGTTTATTTATTTATTTGTTTTTTCGAGTTTGTTATTAAGTCGTTTTAGTTCAAATCGTAGTGCTACTGTGCTTGAGCGGAACGGCCACCGCTCACATGAGTTTTTCAGCCGCTAGAAATAGATTTGTTTATGCGCATGAGTGGCCAGGTTACCAAAAAAAACCGAGAAAATATGCGTGGGTGAACAAGAGCAATGTTTTTAGGTACATGAGCGGATCGGCTACTGTATTAAGATTTTATAAATGGACAAACGTTTTCGGGACATGCCACGAGGCATTTGTTGGTTTAGGATAATTCTGTGCTTAAGTCATTACTTTGTAACTTTACTCACATAAAAATGGCTCCACTTGTACTGTAGAGTTTGATGAAAATGTTTTCGTGATTTTTGCAGGTATGGCATTAAAACTTGAAAAAATCGGCCAAACTTTTTCAGGCTTCTAAAAGTCCATCCTCAGTAGCAACAGACGACAGAAATAGTTCCCTTCCTAAATATAGTCTTAATTAACAAAACTTTATGGTCTATCAATTTTTGTAGAATTTTAATTCATGCAAAGATGCGTTTTATCTTTTGCCTCTTTTAGTGATGCGATTACATCTGTTCTACTACTACATGAGAAATTTGTGCAATTTGATAGGCTTAGAGCAGTAGTATTTCATCTTAATTTGAAATACCTACATGTGAAAATTACAAAATTTTTGCGGGTAGTAGTGTTAAAAAATAATAGTATGATTTGTACATGTACGTGATTTAGTTTGGCATTACGTACAAATAAGGTACGTAAAACTTAGAAATATCACTCGTGGTATTTATGCCAGATATCACTGTAAATCATGCTATTACCTATACTAATTAGCAGTAGTGTAAACAAATAATAGTATGATTTGTACGTGATATTTGGCATTACGTACAAATAACATACGTAAAACTTCGAAATATTACTCGTGGTATTTATGCCAAATGTCACTACAAATCATGCCATTATCTATACTAATTAGCATTCCTGTGACTCAAGTGATACGTGTACGAATTACGTATGGGCACTGTGTTATTAGAACCCAAAGAACTGAATGTGAAAGAAGCAAAGCCACCGATCGTAAATGAACTGTGCAGGTAGTTTATAACTTCCAATGTGATCTGTCTGATGCAGGCTATGTAGGTTACACACGCGGACATTTACACAATCGTGTAAAAGGACATAAACAACAGTCCTCGGCAATTTGCAAACATCACAGAACCCAAAATAAAACAAGACGATTTTCATAACAATAGATACTACACAATCACGCTTAAACATCTTACATTGTATGCATTTTCTAATAACATCTCTAGTAAATGGCCATCGACCCGGCCACCCTCCGATAACGCGTACATTACCAAAGCTACAATAGATGTAAATTTATATACCGTATTAAGAGCAACCATTCCATTTTGTTGCGAAAATATATCGAGAAATCAAACTAACATGTGTACGTATTTTAAAAAATCAAATCGAATCAAATTTCTATTCCACTGATCGTCTAACTTTATTTCTTAAGCATGCACGATGGGTAGTTAAGTTTTCGCCTGTTTAAGATATATGAAGATGGTTCAAGTTTCACAAGAAAACAATCTCTCATTTGTTGTCCCTATTCATTTCCTACAGAAGTAGAGGGGAGAAGTTGATAAGTTGGTCGTGTCCGTAATTCTCATGACTTCTTTGTTTTATAAAGCATTGATATTACAAGGAGAAATTTGATGCTGATCACTCTTAGGGCTTAAAGGGTAAAGAACAAAGATACTGCACTGTGTTAATTCTTAAGAAAAGCAAGCAGAATGTTCGTCAGCTTGCGAAAGAGTCAAAATTAAAAAAAATAAATAAATAAAATGCACAGCCATCGTAGGACGTCATGCCTCCTAGGCGCAGCCTTCCTTAAAACAAATAGTTAACAAGCGTTTACCAACTATCACTATCATCAATTTTTTTTCCCGCGTTTCCAGCTTTGATCAAAGTATCATAGCTTCAACGAGTTGCTGGTCAATATAAACCAGGCACAAACAGGTGTCCTTTGGTGGCTCTGACGCAGTTGTTCCTTTCGTAAACGGCCGCTGCCATGCCAGCACGCCAAAATTCGAAAAAAAAATTAAGTACATAAACTAACAAACTGTTTTTCTGAACTGATGCATCAATAACAGGTGACCCTAGCCCTTTCCATAACTTTTAACGTAAATTCAACTTGGGCTTCAATTGATCAACGTCGTTCTTTCTAAGACTATTCAAAAACGTTTTATTTTTCTTATTACATAAAACGGTAAAAACGAACGATAAAATCTGATGCAAAATTACAGCATTTGAAGCGAAGAGGCGCGAAAATTAACATAACGGGTGCGAAGATTATGAAAATACTTTCGCAGGAATAGAGTCTGATTGCACGTTGAGATTTGGCTTTAAGGTTCTTATAAAAAGCATTTTGTACTCTCTGTTCGAAACGAAGGACTTCGAAACGTTTCAGCAGGTCCTGAGAGATCGTCGCGTGTACGTTCTTGTAATGTTTGGCAATTGTCGAGGACTGTTGTTTATGTCCTTTTACACGATTGTGTAAATGTCCGCGTCTGTAACCTACATTGCTTGCATCACACAGGTCACATTGGAAGTTATAAACTACCGGCATTGTTCATTTACGATCGGTGGCTTTGGTTCTTTCACATTCGGTTCTTGTTCAATTTTCCGGCTGGCAAACACAAGCTGGATTCTGGTGTTTACTTTTCGGCTCCGATTCTTGAGTTGTTCTTTTTTGTAACTTAATCCAGGTATTATTTAACAATGAGTCGCGTCGGGTGACGTCAATATCGGCGAATAGTCACCGAACCGAAGTCGAGGTGACTATTCGCCGATATTCACGTCGCCTGACGCGACTAATTGTTTTAGTATAATCGCATTGATGATCATTCGAGAAAATAAAATTATTGATAAATTTCCGACTCCGAAACATCAACAAATCTGGCTGCCATTTTGAAAACTGCTAGCCTTCAATGTTATAATCATCGCGCGGTGATTATAGCGGAATGAAGCGAAGCTCCTAGCCAATCATAGCGCGCTTATAATAGCAAGGACCGTTTACGAAAGGGAAATAGGCCAGGATAAGCGGCTTTGACGCCAGAAACGACGTCAGCCGATCAGGTCGGACTTTACTGATCCATGGGTTAACTTCTTTTATTTTGTCTGTTTTCCACAGTTCAAGTACTTGTTTCTTAATACCCGGAGAAGGACAAACAAGTCATGTCTGCAATTGTAGCAACAGTGTTAAAAGGAACCATTGGCCTTCTCATAAAGAAGGGCCTAAAACGTGCATCAGAAAAACTAAAGGACGGCGACGTTACAGACCAACAATTACAAAGCTGGATAATGGACGAAACAGACAACGTGAAATCGAAGCTAGATGCAATGGCGAGGAAAGATCTCGGGGCAAGCATATCCTTTTTCCGGGAGGGATTAGTGTTGCTTGATAAAGCAATGGATGCGAGAACCCGGGACGAAGGCGGTTCAAAAAATGTGAAAGGGGCCAACCAAGTCAAAAGCAGTACAAAAGTCAGTCCTGAAGCAGCGAAAAAGGGACGATTTTGGTCCAAGTGGTTTTCTTCAGTTGCTTCTCCAACGAAAAGCCTCGTGGACCAAGGTAAAAACGAATTATCTCTTATTACGAGGGAAATGGACGCCGAAGCAATCGTTGACGCAAAGAAGAGGTTTGAAGATGCTCGACGGAAAGCAACGGAGGCTTTTAACAATGAAGTCCTCAGCCCTTTGGACCGTATCCTTGCCATGGGTGTTCGTCTAATGGCAACAATACTGGAAAAAGTTGAAACTCCAGTGAGTACATTAGACGCGTGTATATCTGGCCTCAACGAACTACACTCGATGCCGTTTGTTACAGAGAATTTTAGCTTTGAAATCGAGAAGGGAATCAAGTCAAGATTTAGCAAGGTTGAGCGAAGGCAAATCATTTCCTCCGTCTGTCAAATAAATCGTACCATTTACGATTTCACGTTATTGGTGGGTAGTGAAGAATGGATCATCTTTTGGCCCTGCATTGAAACCGGACAAGAGAAGGTCGACCCCCTTCGTGATTCAAGAGTGGCAAACATACTGTGTAAGCAAGAGATAAGCGATTGTTCTTTAGCTTGGTCATTTGGTCAGGAGAGTGAACAAGAGCTTCAAAACCTCAAGTCAGCGGTTAGTATAGCAACAAATACCCTCGGGCAGTTCCTTGTTGCCGACTCAACTGGGAACGAATGTGTGAAAATATTTGACGCCACTGGTAAGTTTGTAAAATCCTTTTCTCCTACAGAAGATAAACGCATAATACACAACAGAAAAATCATTGCTGTAGGTACTGACAATGACGACAACATTTACGTGCTGATGACCAAAAACGAAAAAGCGGAGAGAGTTTCTATGGCTAGCATGCTCCTCTTCAACCATCACGCTCAGCTCAAACACCATTTTACCTTTGATGTCCAGTTCGAAGCTGTGACAACAAAGGCGACAGCTAGTGGCCTTCTTCTTGTACCTGGACATTTGAGTCTTGGCGGCCGGACAACTTCGAAGAACGTAATGGCAAATGCAGACAAACACTATGCAATGATAGTAGATAAGAGAGGAAACCGTATGGACCGCCTTTGCGACGACACATTAGGACGTATCAGAGATATCGCAGTTGCTGATAACTGTGTCATGGTGTTAGATTGGTATTCATCCAATGTATTTGTCTTCGCTGACAAGTCTGCGGGCAAAGAGTATCGACCCACTTCAACTTGCCAAGAAAAAAGTCGTCGTTGCGAGTTCCATTTATCGGGTAATGATAAAGAAGATCTTCCCTTTTCACGATTCTCTAAAATAAGAAACTTTCCAGTGGGGAAAGTTGCTCGTGCCATAACGTTTCATCCAAGAAGCAAACACGTCATCATTGCATCACAGACAAAAGATGACCGCTCACAACTGATGTTTTACAGCACCGAAGGCAAATTTGAACGCAGCATTGATCTTAACGTGGAGAGGGGCTACCTAATAACTGGGGCTGCAGTGACAACAGAAGGTCGCATCTGTGTAGCCGCATCAAATTTCTTGGAAGAAAAAGGAAAGATCCTAGTGTTGTAATAGGCTGCTATTGTTTTAAGGCAGTAGTACTTATGGCGCGAACTCATCTTTTTCGCATAGATGGCGTACACATCAACCATAACATATGAAAGTGAAAATGAAAACTTTTTGGCTTGACCGGGAATCGACCCTGACCTGTACGGTGACCGGACCCAATAGTCTGTCCATTGAGCTAATCAAGCCAACTAGAGATCAGGCTATAGTGTTCCGAATATTCGCAATGATTCAAGTGACAACCATAAAGAGGGAACACGTAGGCGCGCATGATTTGGGTACAATTTCCCGCGCCCTCAAATTTTTCGTTCGCTCTTCTTTCTTTCTTTATCAACAAAAACAAACAAACCAAACAAAAAAAAAAAACAAACACAAAAGCAAAAACAAAATAATAATAATAATAATAATAATAATAATAATAATAATAATTAAAAAAAACAAAAAAACAAAAGGAAACAACGGTGTGATACACTATAACAGACTAAAGAAAAAGTTCGAGCGTAGGAGCGTAGGTGAATCACGGCATGGGCCTCCATGTATTTCGAGTTATTGCCCTGCCAAAACATATAAGGGCGTTGATCTAACTTTATGAGGGTATAATTATAACAACCTTAAAGATAAGTAAGGGACGAGGAGGGAGATCGGAGGATTTGGGGCTTAATACGGTAAAAGATAGCTGATCCCCCATTAAATGTTATTTTACGAAAGTGATCCTTCCTCGTAACTCTTAATAACTTTCGTGACCCCCCCCCCCCCAAAGTTTTTGCACCCACACTTACCTTTCGAAGTGTATATTTACTGCCTTTTTTTTTTTTTTTTTTTTTTGCACAGAAAAGATCATAATCAACGTCAGGACGGAAGAAGGGCAACAAGAGGATGCCCCCCCAAAAAAAACAATTGCCCTTTTGGGTTCTCAATTACGAATGAACTCAACTTTTGTTCTCCTACAAATTAAGTGACCTTTCCTCTCCCCCCCTCCCATCAAAAAGAATCCTCCGACCAGCCCCCCCCCCCCCCCCGCGACAAATAATGACTGATTCCTAAGTTCACAAATGTGTTATAATACTGATGAATAATACTGATGTCCTTTGTCCTTGGGCAATCAAGGCTATGTATAATTCACTGTTAGGAATCACCTTGCCCCCAATTCCTTTGATGATATTGTATAAGTAGTTTTGTCATAATCCGTAAGGGTCACCTTTCAGTGACTTTTGATCACTTTTGAAAATGTATGTTAACTAGCGTACGAAACGTAAAGTTCATATAAAAATGCGAATGTCTACAATGTTTATCGACGTTGTACATGTGTGCGTGTGCCTTTTTTTTTATCCGGCATCTCAAGGAAACACGGACCATCACCTGTGTAATGACTTCTACATTAAATTTAGCAACACGACTCGTGATGAATTCTCGCTAGAAACTTCTTGTTCAGTAAGGCAGAGCTCCACTTGAAAATTAAATAAGCTGATAAAAACAAACTAACAGATAAACAAACACAAAGAAAGCCGAGACGAAACAATCTCTTAGTTTTCCCAAAGGGAGAATACTCTTGCAGAAGTGAACTTTTTTGAACGATAGAATTGCTTTTTTAGTTATTCAAACGATTGATTTTTCCCATCCCAAATTACTGATGCTCAATCGGACTTTGTTGGTTAAGGACTTTATTTCAAAGTTCGAAATTTGACGGCTGGATACATGGCAACCATATAGTCGAGGTCACCCACTGACTGCAATGACCGATTTATGTCTCCAACTGACACAAGAATTGTCTTACATGGTTTTCTCCATGCTTTAGAAGCCTGTTTGGTTAATTTGCAATTAGCCTAAAAGCTATTTATCTGTTCTGATGTCTTAGGGGAACTTAGGTGGTCACGACAGTTTAAGGTGTTTTTTTCGTCTCACTCGAAAGTGTTAATTTAGTTACCCTTATGGGTCCGGTCGCCTTGCTTTCATTAGAAAATTATAGGGGACGTTTTGTCCTTGTACCGAAAGCTTTAGGCCTTTTTTAACAATAATAGCAATATCTCGCTATTAAAATGTGAATAACACAACCTTTGAAAATCATAGTTAGGCTATTAGAAAAACTCCGAATATTTTAGACGAATAGAACGGTTATCCCGAAATTTTTAGCTTTTCTCAAGCTTCAGAAATTTCTAGGCAATATTTGCTCTAGTCTGCTACATAGCGTGACGACACTAAAAACGGCTGTGTAGCAGACTATATTTGCTCCTTCGAATAGTTATTTTGCAGAAAAAAGTCGCTGGCTGCCCCTGTATAGTTGCTTGCGTGATTTGTGTCCCTAACTTTTCTCGGCGAAATTCGCGACCCCGTCATTAAATGCAAATAAAGATGACTTTAAAATCTTCAAGATGAATGGGCTTTCATGCGCAAATTCAGGAGCAAGTTTTATTCTCACGTGTAAATTGACTTTCACCCTTCGAACACTCTCGTCTCCATGTCGTACCCAATTACTTTTTTCTTCAATTGACTTCAAATGATCTTTTAAATCAAAATTGTATAAAATTCAAACTTTAATAGCGTCAAACTTATTAAACAACACTTTAGCACTTTCACGTACTGTTAAATTTAAGGTTTAATTTAAGGGGCTAATCAATACCGCAATACCGTAAGAAAAATTGGCAAATACGAAGTACCGTGTCGAAAATCGACGAAGTACCGATACCGCATTTATGATCGGTCACGCTGTATCCATCTCGCGTGTTTTTTTTTTTTTTTTTTTTTTTTTTCTCAAGCATGTATACACCAGCACTCAACCTCTAGTCAGCCTTCCCGAGAAAACGTGAGAAGGTCTCGAATTAAACGGTAGAACGATCGGAAAGCCAGGTCATTGGATGTCCCACCAATTTCCTGATCATAGAGTAACTGTCCGAAATTGTGTATTCATTGACTGTTAAGTCTAAAGTCTTCCAAATATTGACCTACATTAGACATAAGAGGCCAAATGACCGGCACCGCAATACCGTGAAAGACGTCTTCTTTTACCGAATAGGGCTGGATGATACTGCAATACCGCACATTAAAATCAAAATTACCGAGATACCGCTAGAAAAAAAAAAAAGCTGAATACTGCAATATAATACCGTAAACCCCCATGTCCCCCTCAGCTGTTGGCAATGACTACGTTGGGGTTTTGTTAACAGAATCAAAATCTTGCTGGAACCTTTTCAATGCACAAAATTGGATTTATTGCACATATTATGATCAACAAAAACCACCACCATGCCACCTCTACATTAAGCAACTAGTAATTCATACTATGAGCAGCGCCTTCATCTTGTGATCCGTACCAGTTGCTGTGGAGGGTCACATATAATGGCCCATACGGGGATGCTCCACCCAAAAGGGACCTTTTTCAGGCTTCAGGTATAAGAAAAGGTAGGGAAGTCAAATACGTCCTGGTTTTATGATATTCATATTTAAAAGACAGTGCATTCACAGCAGTTAAAAGTTGAAGGGATGCAAAATGATTCTAGACTAAATCAGGTGAGAAAGCGGTGACATTTAATGTCATATAAGGTATACGAAAGCGGCACCTTGTCTGTCAAAAATGGTATATAAACTCCGACCTGTAAGGAGTGGACTCTGGTACTGCGCCTCCGCTATCAGACTTTGCGCAGATCAGCACGAGGTTATGAGTTTCAAAACATTCGTGATGTTTTGTGAATGGCCGGTGATTGATCGCTACCACTTATATATGCCATTTGAAGCTTTCTTACTCAATCAGTTAGACTGTATTCGTCTACGGAAGAAGACATTGCATAATCGGGTTAAGCAGCTTGGCGTTGTGAAAACTCCTTAACTGAAAATGTCTATGACGTCCATACACAAGGTATGTTTTACTTTACGTTTACTTAAAACTACATTTTCACAAATTTCAATCCATGGCCAATTACTGGTGAAAAATGTATACGGCGATTGGACAAGGAAAAAACCACTTTTAATGCGATTGAAAAATATCGGCATGGCCTCTGAAAAACTGTATTGAAACACCTAAAGACTAAAAATGATATTACCTAAGAATACTGCTAATAACGGTAATTCAATCGAGTGATCCGCGTCAAAAAGATTAGTTGAATTGGAGACGGGGATAGGATGATTTATATTCGGAAAACTGGGCGTACCTCTGAAACATTTCTCACTGCCTACAGTTACTCCCTGTCGGTAAAAAGTAATTGGAATTCTTTCAAGAAATATGCGTTTTTATTTACCTTTGCCCACACGTACAGTTACACTCTCAATTGGTAAAGAAAAAACAAAACAAAACAAAAACAACAGTAAAAACAAAAGCGGTATAACCACTATCACGAATTTCGCGTTTTCACTGCTAGGAATGGTTAACGTGCTTATTCTTTTCCTACTCTATGTCAAGCCTTTTTGATATCTTTTTTAGTTGTCTAATTTATTTTTCTTTACTCATACAGATTGCACCTTGGTCAGAAATGGCATACCACAAAGTTGTCGACCTTCCCCGCAAAGAAGGTACATGTGATCTGACACTCATCAAACTATGAGATAGAATTAAGTTCACTCACTGCATGCTGTATAATTACTAGAGATAATCCCTGATTACGTATCCGCGTTCGTCACTTACGGAAACGAAATCGAGTCAAAATGAGTCCAATTTCGCGGCCCCTGGAAAAATTAAAAGGTGCGGCTAATCAACAGTCGCCCAAGACAGCTCGAAAATTCTGCCTTTATGCCACACGAACTCCAGCAAAGGATGCGTTCTGACGAACGCGATTTTTGCAAAAGCTTTTTTAAAGTTCTCCATGCTCTCAACTTTTGTCAAGGGCGTTGTCATCCTCGTGACTCGAAGGACTAAGAAAAACGAGAGAATACTGGTAGTCGCAATCCCACTGATGTCGTAGCCTGCGGAAACATCCATTTCTCCTCGCTCCTCGCCGCTGGGGACGTTTCCTCCGCGCGAAACGTTTCCAGCGGCGAAGAGCGAGGAGAAACGAATATTTTCGCAGGCTATTGATGTCGCAATATCTTTTAAGACAAGACAAGACAAGACAAAACAATGCTTTATTTGGAGTTTTATACAGTCCTATGTACATCGACTTTATCCAAATAAACTAAAGCTTTCTTGCTCTATCATTGTCATTAACATTGATACCCAAAACATAATTTATTATGTCAATAGAGAAAAGGAAAATCTAATGGGGATCTGCTTTTCAAAACACTATTTAATTTGAGCGATTTTACAAAACTAATTTCGTCATATGACATTTGTTACTACTTTTCAGAATCGCCTTCAACGATCTCGGAAAATCACAGCAATTTTCCTGCTGCTTTCGCATTGGTGGAAAAGGCAAAGAAACCAGGCAGTTCTATGACACTGATGGGTGGATTTTAGACCACACTAGATGGATCTTGAAAACAACGATATCGGGCTTGTTCAGAGCAACATGTCAGTTGGCGGGAAATTCTAGATTAAAGATTAAAAAAGTTAATTATTGATATCTGTTATTTAATCCACGCTGTTTAAGCTCTATAGAAAGGTAACACTTCTCCATTCCGCCTAGATTAATCATTTCGATTACAACGGAACCTTGTGTAAAGTCTGGTTTGCTTACGCTGCGCGATCGTTTGCGCCACTTTATTTTTGGCAGTCTTTAAACAGTTCTATCGCAAAACGAGGAATTAAACCTTTTGGAACCAAACATTTGCATAAATAGAGGGTTTAGCGTATGTAATACCTCTTGATAGTAGAGAATCAGAATCGATGATTCCTAATTAATTTGATTTTTGGTACCGTCATGTGAAAACCGAGAAAAAGTAAAATTTGAAACATCTGTAAGGGTGCGTTCCTTTGGGATGATTCGGATCAGGATCAGTGATCAGAGATCACTCGGATCATGTTAGATCAGATGAACCGATGAATCCACTCTGGACATGGATTCAGGAGGGGGGTGCTCGGGATTTAAAGTGATATTTGCTCCTTCGAATAGTTATTTTACAGAAAAAAGTCGCTGGCTGCCCCTGTATAGTTGCTTGCGTGATTTGTGTCCCTAACTTTTCTCGGCGAAATTCGCGACCCCGTCATTAAATGCAAATAAAGATTACTTTAAAATCTTCAAGATGAATGGGCTTTCATGCGCAAATTCAGGTGCAAGTTTTATTCTCACGTGTAAATTGACTTTCACCCTTTGAACACTCTCGTCTCCATGTCGCACCTAATTACTTTTTTCTTCAATTTGACTTCAAATGATCTTTTAAATCAAAATTGTATAAAATTCAAACTTTATAGCGTTAAACAACACTTTAGCACTTTCGCGTACTGTTAAATAGGTTCCTTCAGGAATACCACGCGCGTCAGGAAGGGGACATTAGGGGTTATCCAATACCGCAATACCGTAAGAAAAATTGGCAAATACCGAAATATCGTGTCGAAAATCGACGAAATACCGATACCGCATTTATGATCGGTCACGCTGTATCCATCTCGCGTGTTTTTATTTATTTGTTTTTTTATTAGAAAGAATGTATACACCAGCAATCAACCTCTAGTCAGCCTTCGCGAGAAAAAGTGAGAAGATCTCGAATTGAACGGTACAACGATCGGAAAGCCAAGTGATTGGATGTCCCACCAGTTTCCTGATCATAGAGTAACTGTCCGAAATTGTGTATTTATTGACTGTTAAGTTTAAAGTCTTCCAAATATTGACCTACATTAGACATAAGAGGCCAACTGAACGGTACCGCAATACCGTGAAGGACGGCTTCTTTTACCGAATACTGTTACCCAGAAGGATGAAAAACCGCATACCCGCAGGGCTGGATGATACTGCAATACCGCACATTAAAATCAAAATTACTGAGATACCGCTAGAAAAAAAAATCTCGATGCTGCAATACCGTAAACTCCCATGTCCCCCTCACCTGTTGGCAATGTCACGGTTTTGTTAACAGAATCAAAATCTTGGAACCCTTTCAATGCACAGAATTGGATTTATTGCGTATCTTATGATCAACGAAAACCATCACCATGCAAGGTGCTGTCACTTCTGCATTAGGCAACTAGTGATTCATATTATGAGCAGCGCCTTTCATCTTGTGATCCGTACGGGGGTGGGGGGATAACTTCAGAGTGTCGTGTGCGTGCTTTCACCTTTAGCATCGAATTCCTGTGGAGGGTCACATATAATGGCCAATACGGGGATGCTCCACCCAAAAGGGACCTTTTTCAGGCTACGGTCTAAGAAAGGGTAGGGAAGCCGAATACGTTCTGGTTTTATGATATTCATATTTAAAAGGCAGTGCATTGACAGCAGTTAAAAGTTAAAGGGATACAAAATGATTCTAAACTGGGTCAGATGAGAAAGCGGTGATATTTGTCATATAAGGTGTACGAAAGGCGTACCTTGTCTGTCAGAAATGGTATATAAACTTCGACCTGTAAGGAGCGGACTCTGGTACTGCGCCTCCGCTATTAGACTTTGCGCATATCAGCACGAGGTTGTGAGTTTCAAAACATTCGTGATGTTTTGTGAATGGCCGGTGATTGATTGAAAGCTTTCTTACTCTATCAGTTAGACTGTATTCGTCTACGGAAGAAAACATTACATAATTGGGTTAAGCAGCTTGGCGTTTTGAAAACTCCTTAACTGAAAATGTCTATGAAGTCCGTAGACAAGGTATGTTTTACTTTACGTTTACTTAAAACTACATTTTCACAAATTTCAAAAATGTATAGCGATCGGACAAGGAAAAAACCACTTTTAATGCCATTGAAAAATATAGGTGTGTGGTCTCTGAAAAACTATATTGAAACACCTAACAACTAAAAATCATATTACCTAGCAATACTGCTAATAACGGTAATTCAATCGAGTGATCCGCGTCAAAAAGATTAATTGGAGACGGGGATAGGATCATATATATTCGGAAAACTGGGCGAACCTCTGAAACATTTCTCACTGCCTAGAGTTACTCTCTGTCGGTAAAAAGTAATTGGAATTTTTTCAAGAAATATTCGTTTTTATTTACCTTTGCCTACTGTTACGCTCAATTGGTAAAGGAAAAACAAAGCAAAACAAAACAAAAACCACAACAGCTTAATCACTATCACGAACTCCGAGTTTTTATTGCTAGGAATGGTTAACGTGCTTATTCTTTTCCTACTCTATGTCAGGCCTTTTTGATATCCTTTTTTAGTAGTCTGATATATTTTGCTTTACTCATACAGATTGCACCTTGGTCAGAAATTGCATGCCACAAAGTTGTCGACCTTCCCCGCAAAGAAGGTACATGTGATCTGACACTTATCAAACTATGAGATAGAATTAAGTTCATTCACTGCATGATGTATAATTACTAGAGATAATCACTGATTACGGATCCGCGTTCGTCACTTACGGAGACGAAATCGAGTCAAAATGAGTCCAATTTCCCGGCCGATATGCCCCTGGAAAATTAAATTAAAAGGTCCGTCTAATCAACAGTCGCCCGAAATAGCTCGAAAATTCTGCCTTTATGTCACATGAACACCAGCTTAGGATGCGTTCTGACGAATACTGGCAGTCACGATCCCACTGATGTCGAAATATCTTTTAAGATATATAGAAATGTAGGGGTGGGGGATGTGGAGGGGGTTTTATATATATAGATAGATATATACTTTTGTTCCTTTGCACGTGCGCCCGTGTGCATTTTTCACTTGTTATTGTCCAACTTGTGAAAAACTCGGTTGAACGATACATTTTTTCGTCGTCGGCTTTTTTGTTCCAATGTGACATGTCGTTTTGAGTTTTTTTTAGAAAAATACATGCGCCCTACGATACAAATTTGCAATGGCGAATTATATAGCTGATTTTGGGAATGAGGAAAATATCCCACGAAGCAGCCGATCCGCGAGTTATACGGCGTCACCGAATTGGTAGGCCAAATGCCATGGCATCTGTAGCAAGTGACGAAGCATTTTTATTGATGGAGTGTATTAAAAAAATGCGCTGACCAGGGGCGTGCTTAAGAGAAACTGTAAACTAACTTGAAAGGATTTGTGGCCTAGAGTGTATTCTGTCTTCAATGGGACGTTGCCTTACAGGCCGTGATTTTACACGAAAAAAGGTGAGACATTAAGATATATGACCAGCTCATCATGGTTATGATAAGGTCTGCTTCTATGAACTTCGTCAACGTCTTAGTCCGTTTTAATCAACTGCTACAATATTGTTGCTCCTTCCCACATATCCAATATGGATATCCACGGTCACATCTTCCTTCTCAGCGGTTTCGAAAACACATTTTTTTTCATTTCATCTGCGTTTTTCCCCTTATCCTGTAACGACAACAATTATATGACCTACAAGTGACCGAATTCCTCATTTTTTTAATTTTCAAGAGAATGCAAATCAAGAGAATTGCAGACAATATCCGTCCATTATTTTTTCAATTGACAAATTGGAACAAAGAACCTGACGAACAAAAAATTTATGGTTGAACCAAGTTTTTCACATGCAAATTGGACAATAACAAGTGAATGCACACTGGTGCACGTGCAAGAGAACAAAAGTATATATATATATCTATCTATATATCTCTCTGTATGAAAACCTTTTTAAAAACGGGTGTATATATATATATATATATATATGTATATATATATACACCCGTTTTCAAAAAGGTTTTCATAGAGAGAGATATATAGATAGATACATAGTTTTGTTTTGTTGCACGTGTGCCCGTGCGCATTTTTCACTTCGTATTGTCCAACTTGTGAAAAAACTCGCCTCAACGATAAATTCTCTCCTTGTCAGGTTCTTTGTTCCAATTTGTCAATACAAAAGAGAATGCACGAATATTGTCTACAATTCACTTGATTTGCATTCTTTTGAAAGTTAAAGAATGCGGAATTCGGTCAGTTGTAGGTCATATAATTGTTGTATTTACAGGATAAGGATAAAATCATCAAAGATTTTCATTTTTATAACAACGCAGATGAAATGAAAAAAAAGTGTTTTCGAAACCGCTGATTTTTTTTTTTTTTTTCGGAGAAGGAAGATGTGACGGTGGATGTCGATATTGGATATGTGGGAAGGAGCAAAAATGTCATAGCAGTTGATTAAAACGGACCAAGACGTTGACTAGGTTCATAGAAGTAGATTTTACCATAACCATGATGAGCGGGTCATACATATTAATGTCTCACCCAGTTTTTTCGTGTAAAATCATGGCCTGTAAGGCAACGTCTCACTGAAGACAGAATAAACTCTCGGCCACAAATGCTTTCAAGTTAGTTTAAAGTTTCTCTTAAGCACGCCCTTGGTCAGCGCATTTTTTTTAATACACTCCATCAATAAAAATGCTTCGTCACTTGCTAGAGATACCATGTGAGACATTAAGATATATGACCAGCTCGTCATGGCTATGACAAAGTCTGCTTCTATGGACCTCGTCAACGTCTTAGTCCGTTTTAATCAACTGCCAAATATCACTACAAATCATGCTATTACCTATACAAATTTTCTTTTCGTCAGGTTCTTTGTTCCAATTTGTCAATTAAAAAAAATAATGCACGAACATTGTCTGCAATTCTCTTGATTTGCATCCTCTTGAAAATTAAAGAATGAAGAATTCGGTTACTTGTAGGTCATATAATTGTTGTCGTTACAGGATAAGGGGAAAAACATCAAAGATTTTCATTTGTAAAACAACGCAGATGAAATGAAAAAAAATGTGTTTTCGAAATAGCTGAGAAGGAAGATGTGACGGTGGATGTCCATATTGGACATGTGGGAAGGAGCAACAATATCATTTATACAAATGTAGCAGTTGATTAAAACGGACTAAGACGTTGACGAGGTTTATAGAAGCAGACTTTATCATAACCATGATGAGCTGGTCATATATCTTAATGTCTCACCTTTTTTGTGTGTAAAATCACGGCCTGTAAGGCAACGTCTCATTGAAGACAGAATAAACTCTCGCCCACAAATGCTTTCAAGTTAGTTTACAGTTTCTCTTAAGCACGCTCCTGGACGGGGCATTTTTTAAAACACTCCATTAATAAAAATGCTTCGTCACTTTCTACAAATGCCATGGCATTTGGCCTACCAATTCGGTGACGCCGTATAACTCGCGGATCGGCTGCTTCGTGGGATATTTTCCTCATTCCCAAAATCAGCTATATAATTCGCCATTGCAAATTTGTATCGTAGGGGGCATGTATTTTTCTAAAAAAAACTCAAAACGACATGTCAAATTGGAACAAAAAACCCGACGACGAAAAAATGTATCGTTGAACCGAGTTTTTCACAAGTTGGACAATAACGAGTGAGATATTCACTTTTGTTTTCTTGCACGTGCGCCCGTGCGCATTTTCACTTCTTATTGTCCAACTAGTAAAAAAAATCGGTTCAACGATAAACTCTCTCTTGGTAAGGTTTTTTGTTCCAATTTGTCAATAAAAAAGAGAATGCACGAATATTGTCTGCAATTCTCTTGATCTGCATTCTTTTGAAAATTAAAGAATGCCGAATTCGGTCAGTTGTAGGCCATATCATTGTTGTAGTTGCAGGATCTTACAGGATAAGAAGAAAATCATCAAAGATTTTCATTTTTACCACAAGGCAGATGAAATGAAAAAAAAAAAGTGTTTTCGAAACCGCTATTTTTTTTTCTGAGAGGGAAGATATGACGGTCAATGTAGATATTGGATATGAGGGAAGGAGCAAAAATATCATAGCAGTTTATTAAAACGGACCAAGACGTTGACTGGGTTCATGGAAGTAGATTTTATCATAACCATGATGAGCGGCTCATATATATTAATGTCTCACCTTTTTTTGTGTAAAATCACGGCCTGCAAGGCAACGTCTCACTGAAGACAGAATAAACTCTCGGCCACAAATGGTTTCAAGTTAGTTTAACAGTTTCTCTTAAGCATGCCCCTGGACAGCGCATTTTTTAATACACCCTGTCAATAAAAATGCTTTGCCACTTGCTTCAGATGCCATGACATTTGGCCTATCAATTCGGTGAAGCCGCATAACTCGGCTGCCTCGCCATTTCAAATTGCAGGGCGGATGCTCTTTTCTAAAAAAACTCAAACGACATGTTCTTTTCAAATTGGAACAAAGAACCCGACGAAGAAAAAAATTTTCGTTGAACCGAGTTTTTTCAAAAGTCGGACAATAGCAAATGAAAATTGCTCACGGGCGCACGTGCAAGAAAACAAAAGTATATATCTATCTATATATCTCTCTATATGAAAACCTTTTATATATATATTACGCCCTTCCCATTACTGGGCTTATCTTGATTGCTTGTGTTTCAGATAATGACTTAGCGACCTCAGCCATTGCATTGGCGTTTACTGATAATTCTCTTGATAATGAGTAATAATGAGTAAACGAACTCAGGCAATATATAGTGGTTATAGGACTGAGTGGAGTCCAATTCAGTCTCTAATAATGTTATAACCAAAATCGGACGACAGCGTAGCGGGAGATTTTGTCACGAGTATGATCAGTAATGGTAACAGGTGTGTGTGGAGTACAATTACTTAAACATGACTGTCCTAAGGCCGAAATCAGGGCAGTTGATAGCCAATCAGATTTGAAAATTTTGTTAAAGTAAATCATTACAGATCGAATTGGCCACGCGAAGTTCTGTTATCAATTAATCATGACTTTAACAAAATTTGTGCTATTTTAGGCTTTTTAAAATCAAAACACTAGAAATTCCGGCTGAGAGCTTTTTGCAAGCAGAAAAAAAAGTAATTTAAGCGAGCGCGTACTGTCCACGTGACCCGTTACAGTCTCGTTTTTTCTAAGTGATTACTATTATCCTTAACATTGATACCCTAAACATATTTTATTATGTCAATAGAGAAAAGAAAAATCTAATGGGGATCTGCTTTTCAGCACACTATTTAATTTGAGCGATTTTACAAAACTAATTTCGTCATATGACATTTGTTACTACTTTTCAGAATCGCCTTCAACGATCTCGGAAAATCACAGCAATTTTCCTGCTGCTTTCGCATTGGTGGAAAAGGCAACGAAACCAGGAAGTGCTATGACAGTCCTTGCTGTTAGTCACTAAATAGTTATAAAGGGTGGATTTTAGACCATATTAGATGGATCTTGAAAACAACGATATCGGGCTTGTTCTTTCCTACATTTGATTGGCTTTTTTGAAGCTTTGAAAAACTGATTATTAACGCTCCACATGTCAGTTGTCGGGAAATTCTAGGTTAAAAATTAAAAAAGTTAATTATTAGTATCTGTTATTTAATTCACACTAATTAAGCTCTATACAAAGGTAACACTTCTTCATTCCGCCTAGATTAATCATTTTGATTACAATGGAACCTTGTGTAAAGTCTGGTTTGCTTACGCTGCGCGATCGTTTGAGGCCCTTTATTTTGGGCAGTCTTTTTTAAACAGTTCTATCGCAAAACGACGAATTAAACCTTTTGGAACCAAACATTTGGATTTGCTCGGGACTTTAAGTGATATTTGCTCCTTGGAATAGTTACTTTGCAGAAAAAAGTCGCTGGCCGCCCCTGTAGAGTTGCTTGCGTGATTTGTGTCCCTAACTTTTCTTGGCGAAATTCGTGACCCCGTCATTAAATACAAATAAAGATTACTTTAACATCTTCAAGATCAATGGGCTTCCATGCGCAAATTCAGTTGCAAGTTTTATTCTCACGTTTTAATTGACTTTCACCCTTTGAACACTCTCGTCTCCATGTCGCACCTGATTACTTTTTTCTTCAACTGACTTCAAAGGATCTTTTAAATCAAAATTGTATAAAATTCACACTTTAATAGCGTTAAACTTAAACAACACTACCTTCACTTACTGTTAAATAGGTTCCTTCAGGAATGCCACGTCTGGAAGGGGACATTAGGGGCTACCCAATACCGCAACACCGTAAGAGAAATTGGCAAATACCGAAATACCGTGTCGAAAATCGACGAAATACCGATACCGCATTTATGATCGGTCACGCTGTATCCATCACGCGTGTTTTTTTGTTTGTTTGTTCGTTTGCCACCGTCGTAACATCCACTCCTGCTATTTACTTCAACTTTCAAGTGAAACGTGATGGCCATGAGTCAAACAGAGCGATCAATCTAAGACTAAAACACAGACTAAAAGAAAGGTACAGTCCTTTGCCCCCCCACCAAATGAAAAAAATATAGCCCGTTGGGGAAACGCGATTTCTTTACAGACTAGAAAAAATAATACACCCCCCTTCCAATATTTACCTACATTAGACATGAGAGGCCAAATGAACGGTACCGCAATACCGTGAAGGACGGCTTCTTTTACCAGATACCGTTACCCAGAAGGATGAAAAACCACATACCGCGCGCAAGGCTGGATGATACTGCAATACCGCACACTAAAATCAAAATTACCGAGATACCGCTAGAAAAAAAGGCTCAATACCGCAATACCGTAAACCCCCATGTCCCCCTCACCTGTTGGCAATGTCTGGGTCTTATTTTTTGTTAACAGAATCAAAATCTTGGAACCTTTTTAATGCACAGAATTGGATTTATTGTACATCTTATGATCAACGAAAACCATCACCATGCAAGATGCTGCCACCTCTACATTAAGCAACTAGTTATTCATACTATGAGCAGCCCCTTCATCTTGTGATCCGTACGGGGTTGGGTGGGGGGGGGAAGGGGGGATAACTTCAGCGTTTCGTGAGCGTGCGTTCACCTTTAGCAAATTCCTGTGGAGGGTCACATATAATGGCCCATACGGGGATGCTAAACCCAAAAGGGACCTTTTTCAGGCTTCAGGTATAAGAAAGGGTAGGCAAGTCGAATACGTTCTGGTTTTATGATATTCATATTTAAAACACAGTGCATTCACAGCAGTTAAAAAATAAAGGGATGCATAATGATTCTAAACTAGGTCAGGTGAGAAAGCGGTGACATTTGTCATATCAGGTATTCGAAAGGCGTACCTTGTCTGTCAGAAATGGTATATAAACTCCGACCTGTAAGGAGTTGGACCCTGGTACTGTTACCCCGCTATTAGACTTTGCGCAGATCAGTAGGAGGTTATGAATTTCAGAACATTCGTGATGTTTTGTGAATGACCAGTGATTGATCGCTACCACTTATATATGCCATTTGAAGCTTTCTTACTCTATCAGTTAGACTGTATTCGTCTACGGAAGAAGACAGTGCATAATCGGGTTAAGCAGCTTGGCGTTTTGAAAACTCCTTAACTGAAAATGTCTATGACGTCCGTAGACAAGGTATGTTTCACTTTAAATGTTTTACTTTACGTTTACTTGAAACTACATTTTCACAAATTTCAAAAATGTATAGCAATCGGACAAGGAAAAAACTACTTTTAATGCGATTGAAAAATATCGGCATGGCCTCTGAAAAAGTGTATTGAAACACCTAAAGACTAAAAATCATATTACCTAGCAATACTGCTAATAACGGTAATTCAATCGAGTGATCCGCGTCAAAAAGATTAGTTGAATTGGAGACGGGGATAGGATGATTTATATTCGGAAAACTGGGCGTACCTCTGAAACATTTCTTACTGCCTACAGTTACTCTCTGTCGGTAAAAAGTAATTGGAATTCTTTCAAGAAATATGCGTTTCTCTACCTTTGCCCACATGTACAGTTACACTCAATTGGTAAAGAAAAAACAAAACAAAACAAAAACAACAATAAAAACAAAAGCAGTATAACCACAATCACGAATTCCGCGTTTTTATTGCTAGGAATGGCTAACGTGCTTATTCTTTTCCTACTCTATGTCAGGCCTTTTTGATATCCTTTTTAGTAGTCTAATTTATTTTTCTTTACTCATACAGATTGCACCTTGGTCAGAAATTGCATACCACAAGGTGGTGGACCTTCCCCGCAAAGAAGGTACATGTGATCTGACACTCATCAAGCTATGAGATAGAATTAAGTTCATTCACTGCATGCTGTAAAATTACTAGAGATAATCCCTGATTACGGATCCGCGTTGGTCACTTACGGAAACGAAATCGAGTCAAAATGAGTCCAATTTCGCGGCCGAGATGCCCCTGGAAAAATTAAAAGGTGCGGCTAATCAACAGTCGCCCAAGACAGCTCCAAAATTCTGCCTTTATGCCACATGAACTCCAGCAAAGGATGCGTTCTGACGAACGCGAATTTTGCAAAAGCTTTTTTAAAGTTCCCCATGCTCTCAACTTTTGTCAAGCGCGTTGTCACCCTCGTGAATCGAAGGACTAAGAAAAACGAGAGAATACTGGTAGTCACGATCCCACTGATGTCTTAGCCTGCGAAAACATCCGTTTCTCCTCGCTCTTCGCCGCTGGGGACGTTTCCTCCGCGCGAAACGTTTCCAGCGGCGAAGAGCGAGGAGAAACGAATGTTTTCGCAGGCTATTGATGTCGCAATATCTTTTAAGACAAGACAAGACAAGACAAAACAATGCTTTATTTGGAGTCTTATACAGTCCTATGTACATCGACTTTATCCAAATAAACTAAAGCTTTCTTGCTCTATCATTGTCATTAACATTGATACCCAAAACATAATTTATTATGTCAATAGAGAAAAGGAAAATCTAATGGGGATCTGCTTTTCAAAACACTATTTAATTTGAGCGATTTTACAAAACTAATTTCGTCATATGACATTTGTTACTACTTTTCAGAATCGCCTTCAACGATCTCGGAAAATCACAGCAATTTTCCTGCTGCTTTCGCATTGGTGGAAAAGGCAAAGAAACCAGGCAGTTCTATGACACTGATGGGTGGATTTTAGACCATATTAGATGGATCTTGAAAACAACGATATCGGGCTTGTTCAGAGCCACATGTCAGTTGTCGGGAAATTCTAGATTAAAGATTAAAAAAGTTAATTATTAGTATCTGTTATTTAATCCACGCTGTTTAAGCTCTATAGAAAGGCAACACTTCTCCATTCCGCCTAGGTTAATCATTTTGATTACAAAGGAACCTTGTGTAAAGTCTGGTTTGCTTACGCTGCGCGATCGTTTGGGCCACTTTATTCTTGGCGGTCTTTAAACAGTTCTATAGCAAAACGACGGATTAAACCTTTTGGAACCAAACATTTGGATAAATAGAGGGGTTTAGCGTATGTAATACCTCTTGATAGTAGAAAATCAGAAGAAGCGATGATTCCTAATTTGATATTTGGTACAGTCATGTGAAAACCGATAAAAAGTAAAATTTGTAACATCTCTAAGGGTGCGTTCTTTTGGGACGATCCGGATCAAGATCAGTGATCCGAGATCACTCGGATCATGTTAGATCAAATGAACCGATGAATCCACTCTGGACAAGGATTCAGGAGGGGGTGTGCTCGGGATTTCAAGTGATATTTGCTCCTTCGAATAGTTATTTTACAGAAAAAAGTCGCTGGCTGCCCCTGTATAGTTGCTTGCGTGATTTGTGTCCCTAACTTTTCTCGGCGAAATTCGCGACCCCGTCATTAAATGCAAATAAAGATTACTTTAAAATCTTCAAGATGAATGGGCTTTCATGCGCAAATTCAGGTGCAAGTTTTATTCTCACGTGTTAATTGACTTTCACCCTTTGAACACTCTCGTCTCCATGTCGCACCTAATTACTTTTTTCTTCAATTTGACTTCAAAGGATCTTTTAAATCAAAATTGTATAAAATTCAAACTTTATAGCGTTAAACAACACTTTAGCACTTTCACGTACTGTTAAATAGGTTCCTTCAGGAATGCCACGCGCGTCAGGAAGGGGACATTAGGGGCTACCCAATACCGCAATACAGTAAGAAAAATTGGCAAATACCGAAATACCGTGTCGAAAATCGAGGAAATACCGATACCGCATTTATGATCGGTCACGCTGTATCCATCTCGCGTGTTTTTATTTATTTATTTTTTTATTAGAAAGAATGTATACACCAGCAATCAACCTCTAGTCAGCCTTCGCGAGAAAACGTGAGAAGATCTCGAATTGAACGGTATAACGATCGGAAAGCCAGGTGATTGGATGTCCCACCAGTTTCCTGATCATAGAGTAAGTGTCCGAAATGGTGTATTTATTGACTGTTAAGTGTAAAGTCTTCCAAATATTGACCTACATTAGACATGAGAGGCCAACTGAACGGTACCGCAATACCGTGAAGGACGGCTTCTTTTACCGAATACTGTTACCCAGAAGGATGAAAAACCGCATACCCGCAGGGCTGGATGATACTGCAATACCGCACATTAAAATCAAAATTACTGAGATACCGCTAAAAAAAAAAATCTCGATGCTGGAATACCGTAAACCCCCATGTCCCCCTCACTTGTTGGCAATGTCACGGTTTTGTTAACAGAATCAAAATCTTGGAACCTTTTTAATGCACAGAATTGGATTTATTGCGTATCTTATGATCAAGGAAAACCATCACCATGCAAGGTGCTGTCACTTCTGCATTAGGCAACTAGTGATTCATATTATGAGCAGCGCCTTTCATCTTGTGATCCGTACGTGGGTGGGGGGATAACTTCAGCGTGTCATGAGCTTGGTTTCACCTTTAGCATCAAATTCCTGTGGAGGGTCACACATAATGGCCCATACGGGGATGCTCCACCCAAAAGGGACCTTTTTTAGGCTACGGTGTAAGAAAGGGTAGGGAAGCCGAATACGTTCTGGTTTTATGATATTCATATTTAAAAGGCAGTGCATTGACAGCAGTTAAAAGTTAAAGGGATACAAAATGATTCTAAACTGGTCAGGTGAGAAAGCGGTGACATTTGTCATATAAGGTGTACGAAAGGCGTACCTTGTCTGTCAAAAATGGTATATAAACTTCGACCTGTAAGGAGCTGGACCCTGGTACTGTGAGTCCGCTATTAGACTTTGCGCAGATCAGCACGAGGTTGCGAGTTTCAAAACATTCGTGATGTTTTGTGAATGGCCGGTGATTGATTGAAAGCTTTCTTACTCTATCAGTTAGACTGTATTCGTCTACGGAAGAAAACATTACATAATCGGGTTAAGCAGCTTGGCGTTTTGAAAACTCCTTAACTGAAAATGTCTATGAAGTCCGTAGAGAAGGTATGTTTTACTTTACATGTTTTATTTTACGTTCACTTAAAACTACATTTTCACAAATTTCAAAAATGTATAGCGATCGGACAAGAAAAAAAAAAAACACTTTCAATGCGATTGAAAAATATAGGTGTGTGGTCTCTGAAAAACTATATTGAAACACCTAAAGACCTAAAAATCATATTACCTAGCAATACTGCTAATAACGGTAATTCAATCGAGTGATCCGCGCCAAAAAGATTAATTGGAGACGGGGATAGGATCATATATATTCGGAAAACTGGGCGAACTTCTGAAACATTTCTCACTGCCTAGAGTTACTCTCTGTCGGTAAAAAGTAATTGGAATTTTTTCAAGAAATATTCGTTTTTATTTACCTTTACCTACTGTTACGCTCAATTGGTAAAGGAAAAACAAAGCAAAACAAGTAAGCGCGCATGATTTGGGTACAATTTCCCGCGCCCTCAAATTTTTCGTTCGTTCTTCTTTCTTTCTTTATCAACAAAAACAAACAAACCAAACAAACAAAAAAAAAAACAAACACAAAAGCAAAAACAAAATAATAATAATAATAATAATAATAATAACAATAATAATAATAATAATTAAAATAAAAAAAAAAACAAAAGGAAACAACGATGTGATACACTATGACAGACTAAAGAAAAAGATCGAGCGTAGGAGCTTAGGTGAATCACGGCATGGGCCTCCATCTATTTTGAGTTATTGCCCTGCCAAAACATATAAGGGTGTTACTCTAACTTTATGAGGGTATAATTATAACAACCTTAAAGATAAGTAAGGGACGAGGAGGGAGATCGGAGGATTTGGGGCTTAATACGGTAAAAGATAGCTGATCCCCCATTAAATGTTATTTTACGAAAGTGATCCTTCCTCGTAACTCTTAATAACTTTCGTGATCCCCCCCCCAAAGTTTTTGCACCCACACTTACCTTTCGAAGTGTAAGTATTTACTGTTTTTTCTTTTTTGCACAGAAAAGATCATAATCAAAATCAGGACGGAAGAAGGGCAACAAGAGGATGCCCCCCACAAAACAATTGCCCTTTTGGGTTCTCAATTACGAATGAACTCCACTTTTGTTCTCCTACAAATTAAGTGACCTTTCCTCTCCCCCCGATCAAAAAGAATCCTCCGACCAGCCCCCCTCCCCCCGCGATCAATAATGACTGATTCCTAAGTTCACAAATGTGTCATAATACTGATGAATAATACTGATGTCCTTTGTCCTTGGGCCATCAAGGCTATGTATAATTCACTGTTAGGAATCACCTTGCCCCCAATTCCTTTGATGATATTGTATAAGTAGTTTTGTCATAATCCGTAAGGGTCACTTTTCAGTGACTTTTGATCACTTTTGAAAATGTATGTTAACTAGCGTACGAAACGTAAAGTTCATATAAAAATGCGAATGTCTACAATGTTTATCGACGTTGTACATGTGTGCGTGTGCCTTTTTTTTTGTCCGGCATCTCAAGGAAACACTGACCATCACCTGTGTAATGACTTCTACATTAAATTTAGCAACACGACTCGTGATTAATTCTCGCTAGAAACTTCTTGTGTCAGTAAGGCAGAGCTCCACCTGAAAATTAAATAAGCTGATAAAAACAAACTAACAGATAAACAAACACAAAGAAATCCGAGACGAAACAATCTCTTAGTTTCCCAAAGGGAGAATACTCTTGCAGAAGTGAACTTTTTTGAACAATAGAATTGCTTTTTTAGTTATTCAAACGATTGATTTTTCCCATCCCAAATTACTGATGCTCAATCGGACTTTGTTGGTTAAGGACTTTATTTCAAAGTTCGAAATTTGACGGCTGGATACATGGCAACTTTATAGTCAAGGTCACCCAATGACTGCAATGACCGATTTATGTCTCCAAATACGTCAGAATTGTCTTACATGGTTTTCTCCATGCTTTAGAAGCCTGTTACAATGTGAATAACACAACCTCCGAAAATCATAGTTAGGCTATTAGAAAAACTCCGAATATTTTAGACGAATAGAACGGTTATACCGAAATTTTTAGCTTTTCTCAAGCTTCAGAAATTTCTAGGCAATATTTGCTCTAGTCTGCTACATAGCGTGACGACACTAAAAACCGGCTGTGTAGCAGACTATATTTGCTCCTTCGATTAGTTATTTTACAGAAAAAAGTCGCTGGCTGCCCCAGTATAGTTGCTTGCGTGATTTGTGTCCCTAACTTTTCTCGGCGAAATTCGCGACCCCGTCATTAAATGCAAATAAAGATTACTTTAAAATCTTCAAGATGAATGGGCTTTCATGCGCAAATTCAGTTGCAAGTTTTATTCTCACGTGTAAATTGACTTTCACCCTTCGAACACTCTCTTCTCCATGTCGCACCTAATTACATGTAATTACTTTTTTCTTCAATTGACTTCAAATGATCTTTTCAATCAAAATTTTATAAAAACTTTAATAGCGTCAAACTTAAACAACACTTTAGCACTTTCACGTACTGTTAAATTTAAGGTTCCTTCAGGAATGCCACGTCAGGAAAGGGACATTAGGGGCTACTCAATACCGCAATACCGTAAGAAAAATTGGCAAATACGAAATACCGTGTCGAAAATCGACGAAGTACCGATACCGCATTTTTGATCGGTCACGCTGTATCCATCTCCTTTTGCATGTATACACCAGCACTCAACCTCTAGTCAGCCTTCCCGAGAAAACGTGAGAAGATCTCGAATTAAACGGTACAACGTTCGGAAAGCCAGGTTATTGGATGTCGCACCAATTTCCCGATCATAGAGTAACTGTCCGAAATTGTGTATTCATTGACTGTTAAGTCTAAAGTCTTCCAAATATTGACCTAGATTAGACATGAGAGGCCAAATGAACGGTACCGCAATACCGTGAAGGACGGCTTTTTTTTACCGAATATCGTTACCCAGAAGGATGAAAAACCGCATACCGCAGGGCTGGATAATTCTCCAACTGACCGCACATTAAAATCAAAATTACCGAGATACCACTAGAAAAAAAAGCTCAATACCGCTATACCGTAAACCCCCATGTCCCCCTCACCTGTTGGCAATGTGACAGGGTTTTGTTAACAGAATCAAAATCTTGGAACCTATTCAATGCACAGAATTGGATTTATTGCGCATCTTATGATCAACGAAAACCATCACCATGCAAGATGCTGCCACCTCTGCATTAAGCAACTAGTATTCATACTATGAGCAGCGCCTTCATCTCGTGATCCGTACCGGGAGGGCGATAACTTCAGCGTTTTGTGAGCGTGCCTTCACCTTTAGCATCAAATTCCTGTGGCGGGTATAATGGCCCATACGGGGATGCTCCACCCAAAAGGGACCTTTTTCAGGCTTCAGGTATAAGAAAGGGTAGGGAAGTCGAATACGTTCTGGTTTTATGATATTCATATTTAAAAGACAGTGTATTCACGGCAATTAAAAGTTAAAGGGATGCAAAGTGATTCTAAACTAGGTCAGGTGAGAAAGCGGTGACATTTGTCATATAAGGTATACGAAAGGGTTACCTTGTCTCCCAAAAATGGTATATAAAACTCCGACCTGTAAGGAGTTGGACCCTGGTACTGCCCCTCAGCTATTAGACTTTGCGCAGATCAGCACGAGGTTGTGAGTTTCAAAACATTCGTGATGTTTTTGTGAATGGCCGGTGATTGATCGCTACCACTTATATAAACCATTTGAAAGCTTTCTTACTCTGTCAGTTAGACTGTGTTCGTCTACGGAAGAAGACAGTGCATAATCGGGTTAAGCAGCTTGGCGTTTTGAAAACTCCTTAACTGAAAATGTCTATGACGTCCGTACATAAGGTGTGTTTTACTTGACATGTTTTACTTTACATGTTTACTTTACGTTTACTTGAAACTACATTTTCACAAGTTTCAAAAATGTGTAGCAATCGGACAAGGAAAAAACTACTTTTAATGCGATTGAAAAATATCGGTATGGCCTCTGAAAAACTGTATTGAAACACCTAAAGACTAAAAATCATATTACCTAGCAATACTGCTAATAACGGTAATTCAATCGAGTGATCCGCGTAAAAAAGATTAATTGGAGACAGGGATAGGATGATTTATATTCGGAAAACTGGCCGTACCTCAGAAACTTTTCTCACTGCCTACAGTTACTCTCTGTCGGTAAAAAGTAATTGCAATTCTTTCAAGAAATATGGGTTTTTATTTACCTTTGCCTACATGTACAGTTACACTCAACTGGTAAAGAAAAAAACAAAACAAAACAAAAACAACAATAAAAACAAAAGCAGTATAACCACTATCACGAATTCCGCGTTTTTATTGCTAGGAATGGTTAACGTGCTTATTCTTTTCCTACTCTATGTCAGGCCTTTTTGATATCCTTTTTTAGTAGTCTAATTTATTTTTCTTTACTCATACAGGTTGCACCTTGGTCAGAAATTGCATACCACAAAGTGGTCGACCTTCCCCGCAAAGAAGGTACATGTGATCTGACACTTATCAAACTATGAGATAGAATTAAGCTCATTCACTGCATGCTGTATAATTACGAGAGATAATCCCTGATTACGGATCCGCGTTCGTCACTTACGGAAACGAAATCGAGTCAAAATGAGTCCAATTTCGCGGCCGAGATGCCCCTGGAAAAATTAAAAGGTGCGGCTAATCAACAGTCGCCCAAGACAGCTCCAAAATTCTGCCTTTATGCCACATGAACTCCAGCAAAGGATGCGTTCTGACGAACGCGAATTTTGCAAAAGCTTTTTTAAAGTTCTCCATGCTCTCAACTTTTGTCAAGCGCGTTGTCACCCTCGTGAATCGAAGGACTAAGAAAAACGAGAGAATACTGGTAGTCACGATCCCACTGATGTCTTAGCCTGCGAAAACATCCGTTTCTCCTCACTCTTCGCCGCTGGGGACGTTTCCTCCGCGCGAAACGTTTCCAGCGGCGAAGAGCGAGGAGAAACGAATGTTTTCGCAGGCTATTGATGTCGCAATATCTTTTAAGACAAGACAAGACAAGACAAAACAATGCTTTATTTGGAGTCTTATACAGTCCTATGTACATCGACTTTATCCAAATAAACTAAAGCTTTCTTGCTCTATCATTGTCATTAACATTGATACCCAAAACATAATTTATTATGTCAATAGAGAAAAGGAAAATCTAATGGGGATCTGCTTTTCAAAACACTATTTAATTTGAGCGATTTTACAAAACTAATTTCGTCATATGACATTTGTTACTACTTTTCAGAATCGCCTTCAACGATCTCGGAAAATCACAGCAATTTTCCTGCTGCTTTCGCATTGGTGGAAAAGGCAAAGAAACCAGGCAGTTCTATGACACTGATGGGTGGATTTTAGACCATATTAGATGGATCTTGAAAACAACGATATCGGGCTTGTTCAGAGCCACATGTCAGTTGTCGGGAAATTCTAGATTTAAGATTAAAAAAGTTAATTATTAGTATCTGTTATTTAATCCACGCTGTTTAAGCTCTATAGAAAGGCAACACTTCTCCATTCCGCCTAGGTTAATCATTTTGATTACAACGGAACCTTGTGTAAAGTCTGGTTTGCTTACGCTGCGCGATCGTTTGGGCCACTTTATTTTTGGCGGTCTTTAAACAGTTCTATCGCAAAACGACGAATCAAACCTTTTGGAACCAAACATTTGGATAAATAGAGGGGTTTAGCGTATGTAATACCTCTTGATAGTAGAAAATCAGAAGAAGCGATGATTCCTAATTTGATATTTGGTACCGTCATGTGAAAACCGAGAAAAAGTAAAATTTGAAACATCTCTAAGGGTGCGTTCCTTTGGGATGATCCGGATCAGGATCAGTGATCGGAGATCACTCGGATCATGTTAGATCAGATGAACCGATGAATCCACTCTGGACAAGGATTCAGGAGGGGGTGTGCTCGGGATTTCAAGTGATATTTGCTCCTTCGAATAGTTATTTTACAGAAAAAAGTCGCTGGCCGCCCCTGTATAGTTGCTTGCGTGATTTGTGTCCCTAACTTTTCTCAGCGAAATTCGCGACCCCGTCATTAAATGCAAATAAAGATGACTTTAAAATCTTCAAGATGAATGGGCTTTCATGCGCAAATTCAGGTGCAAGTTTTATTCTCACGTGTTAATTGACTTTCACCCTTTGAACACTCTCGTCTCCATGTCGCACCTAATTACTTTTTTCTTCAATTTGACTTCAAAGGATCTTTTAAATCAAAATTGTATAAAATTCAAACTTTATAGCGTTAAACAACACTTTGGCACTTTCACGTACTGTTAAATAGGTTCCTTCAGGAATGCCACGCGCGTCAGGAAGGGGACATTAGGGGCTACCCAATACCGCAATACCGTAAGAAAAATTGGCAAATACCGAAATACCATGTTGAAAATCGAGGAAATACCGATACCGCATTTATGATCGGTCACGCTGTATCCATCTCGCGTGTTTTTATTTATTTATTTTTTTATTAGAAAGAATGTATACACCAGCAATCAACCTCTAGTCAGCCTTCGCGAGAAAACGTGAGAAGATCTCGAATTGAACGGTATAACGATCGGAAAGCCAGGTGATTGGATGTCCCACCAGTTTCCTGATCATAGAGTAACTGTCCGAAATGGTGTATTTATTGACTGTTAAGTGTAAAGTCTTCCAAATATTGACCTACATTAGACATGAGAGGCCAACTGAACGGTACCGCAATACCGTGAAGGACGGCTTCTTTTACCGAATACTGTTACCCAGAAGGATGAAAAACCGCATACCCGCAGGGCTGGATGATACTGCAATACCGCACATTAAAATCAAAATTACTGAGATGCCGCTAAAAAAAAAAATCTCGATGCTGCAATACCGTAAACCCCCATGTCCCCCTCACTTGTTGGCAATGTCAGGGTTTTGTTAACAGAATCAAAATCTTGGAACCTTTTTAATGCACAGAATTGGATTTATTGCGTATCTTATGATCAAGGAAAACCATCACCATGCAAGGTGCTGTCACTTCTGCATTAGGCAACTAGTGATTCATATTATGAGCAGCGCCTTTCATCTTGTGATCCGTACGTGGGTGGGGGGATAACTTCAGCGTGTCGTGAGCTAGGTTTCACCTTTAGCGTCAAATTCCTGTGGAGGGTCACACATAATGGCCCATACGGGGATGCTCCACCCAAAAGGGACCTTTTTTAGGCTACGGTGTAAGAAAGGGTAGGGAAGCCGAATACGTTCTGGTTTTATGATATTCATATTTAAAAGGCAGTGCATTGACAGCAGTTAAAAGTTAAAGGGATACAAAATGATTCTAAACTGGTCAGGTGAGAAAGCGGTGACATTTGTCATATAAGGTGTACGAAAGGCGTACCTTGTCTGTCAAAATGGTATATAAACTTCGACCTGTAAGGAGCTGGACCCTGGTACTGTGAGTCCGCTATTAGACTTTGCGCAGATCAGCACGAGGTTGCGAGTTTCAAAACATTCGTGATGTTTTGTGAATGGCCGGTGATTGATTGAAAGCTTTCTTACTCTATCAGTTAGACTGTATTCGTCTACGGAAGAAAACATTACATAATCGGGTTAAGCAGCTTGGCGTTTTGAAAACTCCTTAACTGAAAATGTCTATGAAGTCCGTAGAGAAGGTATGTTTTACTTTACATGTTTTATTTTACGTTCACTTAAAACTACATTTTCACAAATTTCAAAAATGTATAGCGATCGAACAAGGAAAAAACCACTTTCAATGCGATTGAAAAATATAGGTGTGTGGTCTCTGAAAAACTATATTGAAACACCTAAAGACTTAAAAATCATATTACCTAGCAATACTGCTAATAACGGTAATTCAATCGAGTGATCCGCGTCAAAAAGATTAATTGGAGACAGGGATAGGATCATATATATTCGGAAAACTGGGCGAACTTCTGAAACATTTCTCACTGCCTAGAGTTACTCTCTGTCGGTAAAAAGTAATTGGAATTTTTTCAAGAAATATTCGTTTCTATTTACCTTTACCTACTGTTACGCTCAATTGGTAAAGGAAAAACAAAGCAAAACAAGTAAGCGCGCATGATTTGGGTACAATTTCCCGCGCCCTCAAATTTTTCGTTCGTTCTTCTTTCTTTCTTTATCAACAAAAACAAACAAACCAAACAAAAAAAAAAAACAAGCACCAAAGGAAAAACAAAATAATAATAATAATAATAATAACAATAATAATAATAATAATTAAAATAAAAAAAAACAAAAGGAAACAACGATGTGATACACTATAACAGACTAAAGAAAAAGATCGAGCGTAGGAGCTTAGGTGAATCACGGCATGGGCCTCCATCTATTTTGAGTTATTGCCCTGCCAAAACATTTAAGGGCGTTACTCTAACTTTATGAGGGTATAATTATAACAACCTTAAAGATAAGTAAGGGACGAGGAGGGAGATCGGAGGATTTGGGGCTTAATACGGTAAAAGATAGCTGATCCCCCATTAAATGTTATTTTACGAAAGTGATCCTTCCTCGTAACTCTTAATAACTTTCGTGATCCCCCCCCAAAGTTTTTGCACCCACACTTACCTTTCGAAGTGTATATTTACTGTTTTTTGTTTTTTGCACAGAAAAGATCATAATCAACATCAGGACGGAAGAAGGGCAACAAGAGGATGCCCCCCACAAAACAATTGCCCTTTTGGGTTCTCAATTACGAATGAACTCCACTTTTGTTCTCCTACAAATTAAGTGACCTTTCCTCCCCCCGCCCCCCCCGATCAAAAAGAATCCTCCGACCAGCCCCCCTCCCCCCGCGATCAATAATGACTGATTCCTAAGTTCACAAATGTGTCATAATACTGATGAATAATACTGATGTCCTTTGTCCTTGGGCCATCAAGGCTAGGTATAATTCACTGTTAGGAATCACCTTGCCCCCAATTCCTTTGATGATATTGTATAAGTAGTTTTGTCATAATCCGTATAAGGGTCACTTTTCAGTGACTTTTGATCACTTTTGAAAATGTATGTTAACTAGTGTACGAAACGTAAAGTTCATATAAAAATGCGAATGTCTACAATGTTTATCGACGTTGTACATGTGTGCGTGTGCCTTTTTTTTTGTCCGGCATCTCAAGGAAACACGGACCATCACCTGTGTAATGACTTCTACATTAAATTTAGCAACACGACTCGTGATTAATTCTCGCTAGAAACTTCTTGTGTCAGTAAGGCAGAGCTCCACTTGAAAATTAAATAAGCTGATAAAAACAAACTAACAGATAAATAAACACAAAGAAAGCCGAGACGAAACAATCTCTTAGTTTCCCAAAGGGAGAATACTCTTGCAGAAGTGAACTTTTTTGAACAATAAAATTGCTTTTTTAGTTATTCAAACGATTGATTTTTCCCATCCCAAATTACTGATGCTCAATCGGACTTTGTTGGTTAAGGACTTTATTTCAAAGTTCGAAATTTGACGGCTGGATACATGGCAACTATATAGTCAAGGTCACCCAATGACTGCAATGACCGATTTATGTCTCCAAATACGCCAGAATTGTCTTACATGGTTTTCTCCATGCTTTAGAAGCCTGTTTGGTTAATTTGCAATTAGCCTAAAAGCTATTTATCTGTTCTGATGTCTTAGGGGAACTTAGGTGGTCACGACAGTTTAAGGTGTTTTTTTTCGTCTCACTCGAAAGTGTTAATTTAGTTACCCTTATGGGTCCGGTCGCCTTGCTTTCATTAGAAAATTATAGGGGACGTTTTGTCCTTATACCGAAAGCTTTAGGCCTTTTTTAACAATAACAGCAAAATCTCGCTATTAAAATGTGAATAACACAACCTTTGAAAATCATAGTTAGGCTATTAGAAAAACTCCGAATATTTTAGAAGAATAGAACGGTTATCCCGAAATTTTTAGCTTTTCTCAAGCTTCAGAAATTTCTAGGCAATATTTGCTCTAGTCTGCTACATAGCGTGACGACACTAAAAACGGTTGTGTAGCAGACTATATTTGCTCCTTCGAATAGTTATTTTGCAGAAAAAAGTCGCTGGCCGCCCCTGTATAGTTGCTTGCGTGATTTGTGTCCCTAACTTTTCTCGGCGAAATTCGCGACCCCGTCATTAAATGCAAATAAAGATGACTTTAAAATCTTCAAGATGAATGGGCTTTCATGCGCAAATTCAGGAGCAAGTTTTATTCTCACGTGTAAATTGACTTTCACCCTTCGAACACTCTCGTCTCCATGTCGCACCCAATTACTTTTTTCTTCAATTGACTTCAAATGATCTTTTAAATCAAAATTGTATAAAATTCAAACTTTAATAGCGTCAAACGTAAACAACACTTTAGCACTTTCACGTACTATT